GTATATAGGACAAATATCGGCAAGTATAAAGGGCATGTATGTCGCTGTATATAGGACAATTAACGCAAAGTATAAAGGGCACGTATGTCGCAGTATATAGGACAAATAACGACAAGTATAAAGTGCAAATAAACCGCTTTATATAGGACAAATAACACCAAGTATAAAGGGCACGTATGTCGCTGTATGCATGTATAAGACAATTAACGCCAAGTATAAAGGGCAACTATGCCGCTGTATATAGGACAAATATCGGCAAGTATATAGGGCATGTATGCCGCTGTATATAGGACAAATATCGGCAAGTATAAAAGGCATGTATGTCGCTGTATATAGGACGATTAACGCAACTAACACAAAGTATAAAGGGCACGTATATCGCGCAGTATATGGGACAAATATCGGCAAGTATAAAGGGCATGTATGTCGCTGTATATAGGACAATTAACGACAAGTATAAAGGGCATGTATCGCTGTATATGGGACAAATAACGACAGGACAGGGCAATACCAAGTATATGGGGGGGCACGTATATGTATCGCTGTATGCATGTATAGGACAATTAACGCCAAGTATAAAGAGCATTTATGTCGCTGTATATAGTACAAATATCGGCAAGTATAAAGGGCATGTATGCCGCTGTCTATAGGACAAATATCGGCAAGTATAAAGGGCATGTATGTCGCTGTATATAGGACAAATATCGCTAAGTATAAAGGGCATGTATGTCGCTGTATATAGGACAAATATCGGCAAGTGCAAATAAACCGCTTTATATATAGGGGACAAATGCAAGTATAAAGGGCATGTATGTTGCTGTATATAGGACAAATATCGGCAAGTTTAAAGGCCATGTATGTCGCTGTATATAGGACCATTAACGCAAAGTATAAAGGGCATGTATGCCGCTATATATAGGACAAATAACACCAAGTATAAAGGGCAGGTATGTCGCTGTATATAGGACAATTAACGCAAAGTATAAAGGGCACGTATGTCGCTGTATATAGGACAATTAACGACAAGTATAAAGTGCAAATAAACCGCTTTATATAGGACAAATAACACCAAGTATAAAGGGCACGTATGTCGCTGTATGCATGTATAAGACAATTAAAGCCAAGTATAAAGGGCAACTATGCCGCTGTATATAGGACAAATGTCGGCAAGTATATAGGGCATGTATGCCGCTGTCTATAGGACAAATATCGGCAAGTATAAAGGGCATGTATGTCGCTGTATATAGGACGATTAACGCAAAGTATAAAGGGCACGTATATCGCAGTATATAGGACAAATATCGGCAAGTATAAAGGGCATGTATGTCGCTGTATATAGGACAAATATCGGCAAGTATAAAGGACATGTATGCCGCTGTATATAGGACAAATAACACCAAGTATAAAGGGCATGTATTCCGCTGTCTATAGGACAAATATCGGCAAGTATAAAGGGCATGTATGTCGCTGTATAGAGGACAATTAACGCAAAGTATAAAGAGAACGTATGTCGCAGTATATAGGACAAATAACGCCAAGTATAAAGTGCAAATATACCGCTTTATATAGGACAAATAACACCAAGTATAAAGGGCACGTATGTCGCTGTATGCATGTATAGGACAATTAACGCGAAGTATAAAGTGCAAATATGCCGCTGTATATAGGACAAATATAGCCAAGTATAAAGAGCACGTATATCGCTATATATCAAACAAATAACGCCAAGTATAAAGGACACGAATGTCGCTGTATTTAGGACAAATAATGCCAAGTATAAAGGACACGTATGTGGCAGTATATAGGACAATTAACGCCAAGTATAGAGGGTACGTATGTCGCAGTATATAGGACACGCATGTCGCAGTATATAGGATACTCATGTCGCAGTATATAGGACAAATATCGGCAAGTATAAAGGACACGTATGTGACAGTATATAGGATAATTAACGCCAAGTATAAAGGGCACGTATGTCGCAGTATATAGGACACACATGTAGTATATAGGACACACATGTCCCTGTATATAGGACAATTAATGCCAAGTATATAGGACACGCATGTCACAGTATATGAGTCACGCATGTCGCAGTATATACGACATAACGCCACAGTATATAGGACACACATGTCCCTGTATATAGGACAATTAATGCCAAGTATAAGGGGCACGTATGTCGCAGTATATAGGATAATTAATGCCAAATATAAAGGGCACGTATGTCGCAGTATATAGGACACGCATGTCACAGTATATAAGACATGCATGTCGCAGTATATAAGACACGCATGTCGCAATATGTAGGACACGTATGTCGCAGTATATAGGACACGCATGTCGCAGTTTATAGGACAAATAACGCCAAGTATAATGGACACGTATGTCGCAGTATATAGGACAATTAATGCCAAGTATAAAGGGCACGTATGTTGCAGTATATAAGACACGCATGTCGCAGTATATTGGACACGCATGTCGCAGTATTTAGGACACGTATGTCGCAGTATATAGGACACGCATGTCGCAGTATATAGGACAAATAACGCCAAGTATGATGGACACGTATGTGGCAGTATATAGAACAATTAACGCCAAGGACAAAGGGCACGTATGTTGCAGTATATAGGACAAATAACGCCAAGTATGAAGGGCACGCATGTCTCTGTATATAGGACAAATAACGCCAAGAATAAAGGACACGTATGTCGCTGTATATAGAACACATAACGCCAAGTATGAAGGGCGCGTATGTCGCTGTATATAGGACAAGTAACGCCAAGTATGTCGAAGTATGAAGGGCACGTATGTATGAAGGGCACGTATGTTGCAGTATGTTGGACCTTTGCTTAACACATTAGACAGATATGGCCTTGCGAATACTGTACGAGGTTATTGATTTAGAGTGGATCAATGCCTTTGTAAAACCAAACCCAAGAAAAAGCTGGTGCATTCTGCGCTGTAACATATGGACGATTAAGTATTGATGTCGGTTTGATTCTTTAAAGTTGTGGAAGCAAAGGCCGACAATCTACAAGTTACAGTATCATGATAAATGGGTAGGAAATACAAGAGAAATAGCATAATTATTCTAAAAGTGATTTTATTCCAGCCGTTACCAGAGAGGGACAGGAGAACAGCCGGAGAGTCATCTTTACCTTGATCATAACAGCAGTGTCATATTTACCCTCATCACAACAACAGTGTCATATTTACCCTCAACACAACAAGGGCGGTAGCCTAGTGGTTAAAGCGTTGGCTCGTCACGCCGAAGACCCCGGTTCGAATCCCCACATGGGTACAATGTGTGAAGCCCATTTCTGGTGTCCCCCGCCGTGATGTTGCTGGAATATTGCTAAAAGCAGCGTAAAACCAAATTCAGTCAGTAAGTCAGTCAAAACAACAACAGTGTCATATTTACCCTCATCACAACAACAGTGTAATATTTACCCTCATCACAACAACAGTGTCATATTTACCCTCATCACAACAACAGTGTCATATTTACCCTCATCACAACAACAGTGTCATATTTACCCTCATCACAACAACAGTGTCATATTTACACTTAACGCAACAACAGTGTCATATTCACCCTCAACACACCAACAGTGTCATATTTCCCCTCGTCACTAATACGGTGTAATATTTACCCTCATCACAACAGTGTGATATTTACCCTCATCACTAATACGGTGTAATATTTACCCTCATCACAACAACAGTGTGATATTTACCCTCATCACAACAACAGTGTCATATTTAGCTTGATCACAACAACAGTGTCATATTTACCCTAATCACAACAACAGTGTCATATTTACTCTCATCACAACAACAGTGTCATATTTACCCTCATCACAACAACAGTGTCATATTTACCCTCATTACTAATACAGTGTCATATTTACCCTCAACACATCAACAGTGTCATATTTACCCTCATCACAACAACAGTGTCATATTTACCCTCATCACAACAACCGTGTCATATTTACTCTCATCAAAACAACAGTGTCATATTTACCCTCAACACATCAACAGTGTCATATTTACCCTCATCACAACAGTGTCATATTTACCCTCATCACAACAACCGTGTCATATTTACCCTCATCAAAACAACAGTGTGATATTTACCCTCATCACAACAACAGTGTCATATTTACCCTCATCACAACAACAGTGTCATATTTACCCTCATCACAACAACGGTGTCATATTTACCCTCATCACAACAACAGTGTCATATTTACCCTCATCACAACAACCGTGTCATATTTACCCTCATCACAACAACAGTCTCATATTTACGTCATCACCACAAGTCTCATATTTACCCTCATCACTAATACGCTGTCATATTTACCCTCAACACATCAACAGTGTCAGCTTTACACCCAACACATCAACAGTGTCGTCTTTACACTTAACGCAACAACAGTGTCATATTTAACCTCAACACAACAACAGTGTCAAATTTACCCTCATTACAAACTTAGTGTCATCTTTACCCTCAAAACAACACAGTGTCCAGGGCTGAAAACCGTTCATACATCTTCACAGACAGGCAACACTTACTCTAGACTAACGCTATAAGTCTCTGAATATATATAATATATAACAAATAATCCCATTTAATTATAAATTGAAGAGAAGTCCAAGTGAGGTGGGAGATTCACAACCTACCAAAATCTAGACTTTTTGAGCTTTAGCATAACAGGGAACATAATGTGGTTCAGGGACTGTGAGACTGACTACACCTACTCCAGCAACAGAATTGTTTAGCGTGATCAGCATCGATGAACAACGCATCCCGACAGAGCGCGTCGGTCTCTCTTCGCTATTGACTAGTTAGACAGGCTGACATTCGCCAGTGGCGACACGTTGTTAGGAGCTGCGGGCGACACACACAACCAACAGCATCCTGGCCTCTGACCTCTGCCTAACCTGTCGGACTACCTCCAACCAGGTAAAACTTCATTGATTGCGACTGTAGTTTCTACGCGTGTTCGTAGTATTGATTGAAGCCAGACATGGAAGCATTTGTATCCAACGGCTACCGTCTGTAGTGAAGCATGTGCGGTATTTCCATCACGTTCATTATGCGCTAGAGATAGAAAGCGCCAGTACTGGTGTCACCACAGCTTGGAGTTCGACATCAGGTAGGCGATAGCTAGTATGGAGGATACATTGCTTAGCCGTGAAAACACAATGCGCGCCCATGTTAAATGTTCATGATATTTGTTTACCTGCTCTATGTGTTATCACCAATGTGAACAACTGAAAATGGCTGTTTTTCTAGAGGGGTGCTGTGCAAATATGTTTGTTACTAAATTTCCATTGTTTCATTGTTTGGGTTTAGTAACAGTTGTGTTTCATTGTTTGGGTTTAGTAACAGTCGTGTATTCATTGTGAACAGCCTGCAGCAGCAGTATCGTCCACAATTCACCATTAGCATCAACGTTATAAACACATAATTAGCATCATCGTCATCCTTGATTAATCATAAGTATTATAATCATCATTATTAGTACCACTATCATCGTTATCATCGATATTATTACTACTAGTATCATCATCATCATCATCATTTTCATCATCATCGCCATTTTCATCAACATATCTCCTTCAACACTTCATGTACATTGCGGCCATTTACACAGCACACTTGTGTGTTGACATCACTCAGTAACCTAGATATGTGAGTCAGTGTGCATTAACCCGTCGCTGTAGTCCGACATCAGCACAGATGTTGAGTGTCGTGCATAACGCTACGTTGTGGGGATTACGAACATATATATAGCCCACATCTCCCGTATTTGTCGGGAGAAACTAAAAATATCCCCCATGGCCTCCGGTCGCTAATTGGGCAGTAATTATCCCCCTTGACATGTGTTTGTACATTGTGTTGACCGAACCGAGCAACACACATTGCAAGAATGTGGACACGCCCCCAGATGCACCTTAATTTCTATTTCAATAAGCAATTAGTCTTTACAGAAATGTCCATGTTCTCGACGTGTTCTATGTCAGAGGTGATGGTTGACACAGAGCCCAAGATGAGGCAGTCATTGCAGAAATATCGATAATGGTATTGATATACTGTACAGCATCTCTACCGTGTCACAATTGTGTGGCGTTTATACTCAGTCTGTCATGCTTTGAACGGTGTCAGTAAGGGCTATCGAACTGCAGTTATTGATAAAACAACATGTGAAACTCAGACAGACAGACAGACAGACAGACACTTATTTATGCACGTCTCACGTCTGTACACAGAGAGTATTACACGAGCAAGTGTGTTATACGACTTATACGAAACGAGTGTGAAATTTTGTATGTACATTTGTGCAGTAAAACATGGTAAGCAAGTGTGACGGCTCTCTTCATTAATGTCGTTTAATTGTTTTATGGCACAGACAACAAAAGGCAGAAACAATGGTTGCTAAGCAAAAGTGATATGTGCACATGTGATATGTGATATATATGACACTGGTTATGTTTCACCATATAGGTAATAAAACATAATATATCATACATATAAACATAGAACATAAGTAAAAGTCCAGAACCACTCAATATGCCTTATGAGAGATAATGGTCGTTTCAAAATCTTATATCATATTTAACCGTACAAGCATATATATAAAGGAGTAAAGGCATAAAACTGGTAATAATTTATGTAATTTCTGTAAGCAGGTTTTGAAAAAATAGTAAAAAATATCAGCACTTGACACAACAAATTATTTGGTTGACTTTATCATATTTTTATTCCATTTTCATTCTGACGAGGAGTATTGTGTCATTTTGGCGAGCAGAGAAAACTGTTTGTTCGACTCATACCTTTAATGTCATTAAACGTTTACTATTACTTTACTAATGGGTTCGCATGTAGTAATTGTTGTCACGGTTATTACTTCGAGCGTCCCTCCCACTGCAATAACTCCAACACGTGGCGAACACCAAATCCACCTTCCACTCTAACCCCTATTTTGACTTCATAGGGCTGTGTGGTAGCCTAGTGGTTAAAGCGTTCGCTCGTCACCCTGAAGACCTGGGTTCGATTTCCCACATGGTGCAGTGTGTGAAGCCCATTTCTGGTGTCCCCCGCCGTGATATTGATGGAACAGCCGCGTAAAACCGAACCCAATCATTTATAGGACGGTGTGGTCCTAGTGTAAAAACGCCCGGGTTCGATACTCTAAATGGGTACAATGTGTTAAACCTGCTTCTGGTGTGCCCTGCCATGATATTACTCACCGCAGTATAAATTCACTCTCTGCTCATTTTCTATGATTTGCTCACAGTGATATTTATTTGTATATTAAAAAACGATTTGTATACAACATACGTGAAACACGACACGTCGACTAGTTGACAGTGATGTAGTGGACGGTGTCTGTAACGGAGTCACGTACGCTTGTCCATGCGTGCGGTAAACATGTCTGTGAACGAGGTACGGCGTTTCCATGGAGACGGAATACGCGAGAAACTAGATTTGAGCTCATTAGTAATTTTGCATTATAAGACATGGCGGTGACACAAGAAATAGGCGTTACATATTATACATGGAAACAAAATAGGACCGCCATCTTGACTAGCGAACGCTTGCTCCATTACACCTCTTGTCACCGGCGACCAGTACGTGATGGTGAGTGAGTAATTATGGTTTTACGCCGCTTTTAGCACTATTCCAGCCATATTCAGCCAGGGGACACCACAAATTACATGACACAAAATACAAGATGGTAGTAAACATTAAAACATGGGACGGAAAACACAAACACTGCTGTTTCCATTTTAGTGTTGTTTATAACAAGCAATCCCTGGATTGCAACTGTATCAATTGGATAGATTTATAACTAGCAATCTCTTGTTTAGCGTGGTAGATATTGGGTAGGTTTATAACTAGCAATCTCTTGTTTAGCGTGGTAGATATTGGGTAGGTTTATAACAAACAATACCTTTATAGCCATGGTAGATATTGGGTAGGTTTATAACTAGCAATCTCTTGTTTAGCGTGGTAGATATTGGGTAGGTTTATAACTAGCAATCTCTTGCTTAGCGTGGTAGATATTGGGTAGGTTTATAACAAGCAATCCCTTATTTGCATGGTAGATAAAGGTAGGTTTATTGATTGACATGGTAGATATTAGGTAGGTTTATAACAAACAATTCCTTGATTGGCATGGTGGATATTAGGTAGGTTTATAACAAACAATTCCTTGATTGGCATGGTGGATATTAGGTAGGTTTATAACAAGCAACATCTTGTTTGGCGTAGTAGATATTGGGTAGGTTTATAACAATCAATACCTTTATAGGCATGGTAGATATTGGGTAGGTTTATAACAAACAATTCCTTGATTGACATGGTAGATATTAGGTAGGTTTATAACAAACAATTCCTTGATTGTGATGGTAGATATAAGGTAGGTTATAACAAGTAATTCCTTGATTGGCATGGTAGATATTAGGTAGGTTTATAACAATCAATACCTTTATAGGCATGGTAGATATTAGGTAGGTTTATAACAAACAATTCTCTGATTGGCATGGTGGATATTAGGTAGGTTTATAACAAGCAACATCTTGTTTAGCGTGGTAGATATTGGGTAGGTTTATAACAATCAATATCTTGATTGGCGTGGTAGATATTGGGTAGGTTTATAACAAGCAATCCCTTATTGGCATGGTAGATATTAGGTAGGTTTATAACAAGGAAGTCCTTGATTGACATGGTAAATATTAGGTAGGTTTATAACAAACAAACAATTGACATGGTAAATTGGTACGTTTATAACAGGCAATTCCTCCTTGATTGGCATCGTAGATATTGGGTAGGTTTATAACAAACAATTCCTTGATTGGCATGGTAGATATTAGGTAGGTTTATAACAAACAATTCCTTGATTGGCATGGTAGATATTAGGTAGGTTTATAACAAGCAAGTCCTTGATTGGCATGGAATATTTTAGGAAGGTTTATAGCAACCAATTCCTTGATTGACATGGTAGATATTAGGTAGGTTTATAACAATCAAGTCCTTGATTGGCATGGTAGATATTAGGTAGGTTTATAACAAGCAAGTCCTTGATTGGCATGGTACATATTAGGTAGGTTTATAACAAGCAAGTCCTTGATTGGCATGGTAGATATTAGGTAGGTCTATAACAAACAATCCCTTGATTGGCATGGTAATGATTAGGTAGGTTTATAACAAGCAAGTCCTTGATTGGCATGGTAGATATTAGGTAGGTTTATAACAAACAATCCCTTGATTGGCATGGTAGATATTAGGTAGGTTTATAACAAGCAAGTCCTTGATTGGCATGGTAGATATTAGGTAGGTTTATAACAAACAATCCCTTGATTGGTATGGTAATGATTAGGTAGGTTTATAACAAGGAAGTCCTTGATTGGCATGGTAGATATTAGGTAGGTTATAACAAGCAAGTCCTTGTTTGGCATGGTAGATATTAGGTAGGTTTATATTGGCATGGTAGATATTAGGGTCGGTTTAACAAACAATTCCCTGGATTCATAGTGGATATTAGGTGGTTTTATAACAAACAACTCCTTTGATTGGCGGTAGATATTAGGTAGGTTTATAACAATCAATACCTTTATAGGCATGGTAGATGTCGGTATTTATAAGAAGCAATCCCTTCTGGCATGGTAGATATTGGTAGGTTTATAACAAGCAATTCCTTGATTGGCTTGGTAGATATTAGGTGGGTTTATAACAATCAATAAGCAAGTCCTTGATTGGCATGGTAGATATTAGGTAGGTTTATAACAAGCAAGTCCTTGATTGGCATGGTAGATATTGGGTAGGTTTATAACAAACAATCCCTTGATTGGCATGGTAGATATTAGGTAGGTTTATAACAAGCAAGTCCTTGATTGACATGGTAGATATTAGGTAGGTTTATAACAAGCAAGTCCTTGTTTGGCATGGTAGATATTAGGTAGGTTTATAACAAGCAAGTCCTTGATTGGCATGGTAGATATTGGGTAGGTTTATAACAAACAATTCCTTGATTGGCATGGTAGATATTAGGTAGGTTTATAACAAACAATCCCTTGATTGGCATGGTAGATATTAGGTAGGTTTATAACAATCAATACCTTTATAGGCATGGTAGATGTCGGGTAGGTT